ACAGAAGGCCTTATCAGGTTAAATAACTTGTTAAGACGCCCTGATGCACAAAATGCAGATAATATTATGGCATATGACAATGCTGTTTCAGCTTTAGGGAAGATATGCCTATTCCATCGTGATGGTATTGATGCTTCTCAGGTATCTATGTGTTGTTTATCATTATAATATTTTCCTTCCTTTTTCTCTCTCATGTATCGACGCACATGAGCGTCTATGGGTGTGTATGTGCAAAACCACAAATACATCAGCTTTGGTGGATATGTGACGGAGCGTGGATGTTTTGTTGCTGATTTTTGAGAAGGAAAAAGAAATACTGTTAGCACATGTCATATTTGTGGAGTTAAGATTTTGTGACAACTATCCCTAGGCTTTTTAACTTTGAGTATTTTTCTCTTGTGCTCTGAGGCGATCGACTCAGGCGCTTCGGGGTGCTGAAACTGCGCCCTGCATGAGATGCGGGGCGCATTGCGTAAGTGAGGTGCGCGTCTCAGTGCGCCTCGCGCCTTGGTGCGCCTCACTGTTCTGCTATTACTACTATATTCTCTTATTCCTCTTCATTGCCTTGCTCTTTTGTCACTATTTCCTCATTCCGATTCTCTTCCCCAAATTTTTCTCTACTACCTGATTATTTTTCCTCCTTTTTTGCTGCCACTGTTACTACTATAATTAGAACAGTGATTGAAAAAGCACAATCTATTTTTTATAGATATTGTGATGTTCGACAATTATGAATCAAGGCCTGTTTGTAATCTTGAATGTATGATTTTATAGAAAAAGTTTGTTAAATAACTTTTCATTGTGATGAATTACTGGAAATACAGAAGGGTAGTGCTATATTTTCATTAATTCTTTTGTAACTAGTGTTATGATTATGAATTAGAACCTTATTTTGTCATTTAACAGGTGACTTGTTTATCTTGACTTCTATTTTATATTAAATCAATAAACAATTTTCTTTAATTTGACGTATGCACCTCGCTTCACTGAGACGCGCGCATTGTATTGCGCCTTGCGTATGTTGCACGTAAGGGGATGTTGCGCCTCGCGCTGCGCCTTGCGCCTTGATAACGCTGCTCTCATATCGTTGTAGATTTTACTGTTACTGTGTAGTTATATACATTAGTATTTCTTTCTAACCTATGGAGCTTGTCCCAAGTTCTTATGTGTGTGAAATGTTGATGCAAGTAGAAATCCTGCATTAGTTGTAAATAACAATCATATATGCCCATTTCATTTTTCTTAACGTTTTTTCCCTTTCTGTCAGTTGTCTGAGTAGCTGATGCCAAGTATATACTCTGAGAATAGATACAACTAGTAGTTTAATGCTTAACAATTCTTTATGTTGCAATTCTTTCCTTGGTGGGCAGATTGTTCCAGCTTGGTTAAGCTGCCTGCCAATAAAAAGTGATCTGATTGAGGCCAAAATTGTACATGAGCAGCTTTGTTCCATGGTTGAAAGGTGATTTCATTTCCGATATATGTTGTGATATATGTTGTGCTCATGTAATGATGGTTAAATGTAGCATACTTATGTCACTGAACGACTGATTGTTTCCAGGTCGGACAGAGAGTTGTTGGGTCCCAACAATCAGTTCCTTCCTAAAATCGTTGCAGTATTCGCTGAGGTAATATTACTCGCGCATTCATATCACTTGTAAATGGAATTATCAATTAGTTCTTAGGAAGACACTGAATTTGCTCATCGTGCTTCTAGTTTTATATGTTGCCTAGTACTCTCCCTAACCTGTGAATGCTTCTATACAATCCCTGAATCTGGTTGTACTCGTATTCAGGTTTTGTGTGCTGGCAAGGATCTTGCCACGGAACAGACTGCCAGTAGGATGATTAATCTGCTGAGGCAGCTTCAGCAGACAATGCCACCTGCTGTGCTGGCGTCTACGATATCTTCTCTGCAGCCTCAACAGCAGCTTGCGCTTCAGTCAGTCATGTCCTCGTAAATACCTTTTTGATCCGCTCTTTCAAAACTGCTGTTTGCTGTCTTGTCAGTTTGCTTGCCCGTTTTCATTTATTTTCTGTTGCCCATTCTTTATGCCTCAATTTGTTCGAAGTTAATGTTTGCAATCGAGTAGATGGCCTCAGTGGTTCTTATAGTTTTGGGTGTAGAATTTGTATAGTATTTTGGTCGGTCAAGTTTCAAATAGTATGTTGTATTATCTGCTACATCCAATGAGAAGATCAAGGAAGGAGGGGGGGAGAAAAAAAAGAACAAAATGAAGAACTGCCTTATGTTGGCGTTTGAGATTTTTTGTGCGAGTCGTAGTATTATGAGTGGAAGGAATGCTTTCTTGTGGCAGTTTTGGTGAGAGCTTAGTATCGATGTTTGGCCCCTATATTTTAAATTGGAACAATTTATTTACTTGGGGTCAGCTGCTGTAAATTTTTTTATTGTGGTTATTCTTACCGTTGTGAATTTTTCTATCCATGTCAAGTTGTTGAATGCTTGTTGAAATTTTGAGATAAAATTATTTTTTTCCTTTCAGTGGTGTAGGTTAAGATAAAGCCAGAAGGATTGCCATTTGCATTTTTGATGATGTTGCAGAGCAATGTCGTGAAGCAGCTCTGAAGTAAGTATCTTTAATCTGCAGGTGTGATGATTGCACTTTGGAAGTTGCATGTCCTTACTGTTTCACCTTATCCATTTCAACAGATATTATGATACATATCTTCCTTTCCTCTTAGAAGCATGTAATGATGCAAATCCAGATGTTCGACAGGTCTCCGACCCTCTCTGTGGCTCCTTGTCTCTCTCTATGCCCTCTATTCTTTTTCTTTTTAACCTCAAGTATAATCTAAATTTTTATTCATTTATGTTCTAGGCTGCTGTCTATGGAATTGGCGTATGTGCTGAATTTGGTGGTTCAGTGTTTCGACCCCTTGTTGGAGGTATCTTAGTGAAATATGTTATAAGATTTAGTTATGTTCATTGTTCTGACAGAGGCCTTATCCAGGTTAAATAACTTGTTAAGACGCCCTGATGCACAAAATGCAGATAATATTATGGCATATGACAATGCTGTTTCAGCTTTAGGGAAGATATGCCTATTCCATCGTGATGGTATTGATGCTTCTCAGGTATCTATGTGTTGTTTATCATTATAATATTTTCCTTCCTTTTTCTCTCTCATGTATCGACGCACATGAGCGTCTATGGGTGTGTATGTGCAAAACCACAAATACATCAGCTTTGGTGGATATGTGACGGAGCGTGGATGTTTTGTTGCTGATTTTTGAGAAGGAAAAAGAAATACTGTTAGCACATGTCATATTTGTGGAGTTAAGATTTTGTGACAACTATCCCTAGGCTTTTTAACTTTGAGTATTTTTCTCTTGTGCTCTGAGGCGATCGACTCAGGCGCTTCGGGGTGCTGAAACTGCGCCCTGCATGAGATGCGGGGCGCATTGCGTAAGTGAGGTGCGCGTCTCAGTGCGCCTCGCGCCTTGGTGCGCCTCACTGTTCTGCTATTACTACTATATTCTCTTATTCCTCTTCATTGCCTTGCTCTTTTGTCACTATTTCCTCATTCCGATTCTCTTCCCCAAATTTTTCTCTACTACCTGATTATTTTTCCTCCTTTTTTGCTGCCACTGTTACTACTATAATTAGAACAGTGATTGAAAAAGCACAATCTATTTTTTATAGATATTGTGATGTTCGACAATTATGAATCAAGGCCTGTTTGTAATCTTGAATGTATGATTTTATAGAAAAAGTTTGTTAAATAACTTTTCATTGTGATGAATTACTGGAAATACAGAAGGGTAGTGCTATATTTTCATTAATTCTTTTGTAACTAGTGTTATGATTATGAATTAGAACCTTATTTTGTCATTTAACAGGTGACTTGTTTATCTTGACTTCTATTTTATATTAAATCAATAAACAATTTTCTTTAATTTGACGTATGCACCTCGCTTCACTGAGACGCGCGCATTGTATTGCGCCTTGCGTATGTTGCACGTAAGGGGATGTTGCGCCTCGCGCTGCGCCTTGATAACGCTACGCACGTAAGGGGATGTTGCGCCTCGCGCTGCGCCTTGCGCCTTGATAACGCTGCTCTCATATCGTTGTAGATTTTACTGTTACTGTGTAGTTATATACATTAGTATTTCTTTCTAACCTATGGAGCTTGTCCCAAGTTCTTATGTGTGTGAAATGTTGATGCAAGTAGAAATCCTGCATTAGTTGTAAATAACAATCATATATGCCCATTTCATTTTTCTTAACGTTTTTTCCCTTTCTGTCAGTTGTCTGAGTAGCTGATGCCAAGTATATACTCTGAGAATAGATACAACTAGTAGTTTAATGCTTAACAATTCTTTATGTTGCAATTCTTTCCTTGGTGGGCAGATTGTTCCAGCTTGGTTAAGCTGCCTGCCAATAAAAAGTGATCTGATTGAGGCCAAAATTGTACATGAGCAGCTTTGTTCCATGGTTGAAAGGTGATTTCATTTCCGATATATGTTGTGATATATGTTGTGCTCATGTAATGATGGTTAAATGTAGCATACTTATGTCACTGAACGACTGATTGTTTCCAGGTCGGACAGAGAGTTGTTGGGTCCCAACAATCAGTTCCTTCCTAAAATCGTTGCAGTATTCGCTGAGGTAATATTACTCGCGCATTCATATCACTTGTAAATGGAATTATCAATTAGTTCTTAGGAAGACACTGAATTTGCTCATCGTGCTTCTAGTTTTATATGTTGCCTAGTACTCTCCCTAACCTGTGAATGCTTCTATACAATCCCTGAATCTGGTTGTACTCGTATTCAGGTTTTGTGTGCTGGCAAGGATCTTGCCACGGAACAGACTGCCAGTAGGATGATTAATCTGCTGAGGCAGCTTCAGCAGACAATGCCACCTGCTGTGCTGGCGTCTACGATATCTTCTCTGCAGCCTCAACAGCAGCTTGCGCTTCAGTCAGTCATGTCCTCGTAAATACCTTTTTGATCCGCTCTTTCAAAACTGCTGTTTGCTGTCTTGTCAGTTTGCTTGCCCGTTTTCATTTATTTTCTGTTGCCCATTCTTTATGCCTCAATTTGTTCGAAGTTAATGTTTGCAATCGAGTAGATGGCCTCAGTGGTTCTTATAGTTTTGGGTGTAGAATTTGTATAGTATTTTGGTCGGTCAAGTTTCAAATAGTATGTTGTATTATCTGCTACATCCAATGAGAAGATCAAGGAAGGAGGGGGGGAGAAAAAAAAGAACAAAATGAAGAACTGCCTTATGTTGGCGTTTGAGATTTTTTGTGCGAGTCGTAGTATTATGAGTGGAAGGAATGCTTTCTTGTGGCAGTTTTGGTGAGAGCTTAGTATCGATGTTTGGCCCCTATATTTTAAATTGGAACAATTTATTTACTTGGGGTCAGCTGCTGTAAATTTTTTTATTGTGGTTATTCTTACCGTTGTGAATTTTTCTATCCATGTCAAGTTGTTGAATGCTTGTTGAAATTTTGAGATAAAATTATTTTTTTCCTTTCAGTGGTGTAGGTTAAGATAAAGCCAGCTCTTAGAAGTTTTCATACGTTCTCCTTTGAAAATGAACTCCCTCTCTAAACTGAGTAGTTTCTCTAGGTAACTTGTTCATCTGTAGCAAATCATTGAATGGAGCGGTTACTTGCATTTATCAGGCACGCTTGTTGGTTAAGACTGATACTTATCTGTCATCTCCTTGGTAGTAATAAATTCGCTTTTAACTTTTTTATTAGATGGCACAATACTGCTTTACCTTTTTTGTTCGATCATGTAATGTTGCTTTAGATGAACCTCTGTTTTCCTGCCATTTACGTTGTCTGACACGGGGAGTTGAATTTTGATGAGTCCAAAGTTTTACTTTTATTTTTTAAGAGTATTATTCTGAATTACTCCCGAGCAATGGCTGAATCCTCACGTTGTATGTATTTTTTTTTTTTTGTAATGATGATGATGCACCATTATTAACGTATTGTTAGCACATGAAGTTAATTATCGGTAACGCTACATCATTTTCTCCTTTATTTATGTCATACAGCCTATTGTGCGTGCACGAAAAATATGTGACTAGTTAAGGACTTCCTCTTGTACGATAATAGTTTTTTGGTGCACGCGGGCGTGTTTGGCATAGAGCGATGCAGTCAAATTTTCTCAGTGGAAAGGATTATCAGGACGTTTTTGTTGATTTCGGAGGGCATTTCGGCTAATTTTTGTGAGCATGACGTTATTTCTTTTAAATTTTCAAAATGTGAGGGCATTTTATTTTTAGCACTTCAAAAATGAAGCTCGTACAAACCCAAAATGGGGTATTATAGTTTCATCATAAACGCAGGAGTTAAGATACTGGAGTCCATGATTTCGGCACGGGGTGGAACTCGACTTCAATCTTCTACACGTGGATCTAATGTCTTTTAGCAAATATTGCAGACTATAAAACACACAGCTTTTAGTGCAATTTGGCTCATGCCCATTTAGAGAGAATTTAATTTGCGTCTAGTGTGCTGAGGCTCGTCACGTGAAAATGACAATTTAAGCACGGGAAATAAATTAGTAACTTGGTACCCTTCACCGCATGAGAAGGGTTCTACATCATATATTATAGGTTCTTATCAATTCTAGGATTTCTATTGGCTAATCTTGGAGGATTCTTTCTATTTAGTTACTAAAACTCTCAGCAACTTGCCCTTAAAAATAGGAAATAAGCGTCCTCTCTTCTAAAAAATATGTTCGGTGACTTTTCTTATTTATTGATCATGGTAATGATGATGCTTGGTATTAGTCTAATTGTTGTAATAGACCACTTCTCCACTACAAAAAAGTAGTGAAGAAACCATTACCTTTTGATCATAACCACCGATTGGATTACTTTTAACACTTATCATATCCCTATGAATTGCACTCATTCTTATTTTACACACAGGAAGGATAATCACAACCATCCGCTAAATAACTGACAATTGAGATCAATGTATTAGTCTCTCCACTATCTTTCTGTAGTGGAGAGAATCCGAATCCGAATCCAAATCAGGCCTAGTAACACGCAACAAAACACTCAGTTGGATCTCTAACAGGGTTATGTTGCTTATCAATATTACTGTTTTTTTTTTCTCCTGACTCCCTTGGTTATTTTAATAGGTTCTAAATCTAACCTTGTATATTTTTGCGTACGTTACGCTTGGATTCTTTTGTACGCAGGACACTGGGAAAATAGAAAATGTTTAGGATTAGGAAAAACGATTCTGTTGAGGATAGTTACTTCACTGCCGTCCCACTTTTGTTTTGACTGAAAACGTACACATTCTAATTGAGATCGAACAAAAGCATCGTGCGTACTTTCTTGTCAAAGTTTGTTGTTTTGTACCGGTACTGAAAGTAAAATTTTTTCCCTTTTCTTTTTTCTTTTTCTTTTGATGAAATCTCCAAAGTTTCCGCATCTTTATTTCCCCCTCATTTTCTGAGAGAAACCTTTCTACGCTTGTTAGGAACCTTCCTTCCAATTCCTCTCCGTGGCTATGACCACATTAACTAGTTTATTAATTGATCTAATTATTGTAGTTTCGTCCCCACAAATTACAATAATTCGCTGTTATCAACATTGTCAAGTACGGCGCTTAAGACGAAGATCAGGGTCCTTTTCTGCTTTATGTAACGGACAAATCGGCTCTCAAAGCCACTTTAAGACCTTTTTGGTGATAATTACTTTGGAATCATCTCCCTTGTTTGATATCGTCGAGCTCTGCCGTGCTTCGCCAAATGTAAGCGGCTCGTTCATCCGATGACTTGGTTCCCGTTGCTGCATTTGACCGAGCAAGAAAACACAAAGAAAAGGCACCAGCGAAATTAAGGATCACACTTGGAGGCTTACTCACTCCGTAGAGTGCTTTCGTCATTGTCTCGCTAGCTTCTTGTGTTTTATATCTAATAGTAACAAGCGAAACCCTTTTGTTATATTTTTCCAATCAAATCTTATATATAGTGGCAATGCAACTTTTTGTCTCGGTTTAGCTTTATTAATTTTTTTGTTATTATGGTTGAAAATATTTTAAGAGAACAATGGATTGTGATCAGATTTATCGGATGTTGCTTTTCTAAAATAGTACTTCTACGTACATTTGTCTATATATATTTACCCATCGAACTATTCTAAGTCTCATATTAATACTTCATGAACTATCACTTCTAGTATCTAGTTACGACTTCTGTTTTATTGTTTTATGGGTATGAATTTATATGAGAGAAAAGTGACAGTTTTCTTCGGTCATCAATAGAAAGTTATAGTTCTGAAAGTAAGGTGAGACTAAAAATAATTTAAGGGATAAACATGCACAATTTTACTACTTCAAGGATGGTAAGGTGATACTAAAAACGCTGTCATAACATAAATGAACAAATTTAATAGTCTAGTGCGCAAATCTATATCTATACTACTACAAAAAGAGGATTAAGGTGTTAAAACTTTTAATTTCCTCTTTCGGCCTCTTAAATTTTGATAAATGCCAAGTATGCCATTATCTCTAATTAATTTTTTATTAAATAAATATAACCACTTATCAATTATGAACCTCCTCACCTTCCTAAGTAATTATACTTATCAATAATATTATAACTATTAGTTGTTTAATAGTAATATAATATAATAATTTATAAAATAAGTACACACAATGGCTAATAGTAACCAATTAAATTATTATTGTTATAATTATTTATGAATTATAATAAAATAATTAAAATATTAGTATACATAAAATAATAGTATACTATAATTCAATGAGCAATAAAATAAATAGAATAGGTATTTAATATCATAAATAGTATAATTATTTTAATAATATCACACAAATTATGAATTACTCTATTTATTTAATATTATATTATTAAATAAATTAAACAAGTAATTCAATATTATTTTTAGAATATTTTCTCAAAGATTATTATAAGATACTGAATAATCTATACTTAGTAATGATTGAAAACTAACATATTTACAAAAAAATAATTCAATATTAATAATAGTACTACTATTAACTTGTAATGATAGTATAATAGAAATTTATAAAGTATTTGCAGTACTAAATTATTTAAGATCTTAATTTAAAAAATTAAATTAGATAAATATTTTATAGTATACAGATAGTATAATTATTTTAAATAGTATTACTTAAACTAAGAATTATAATATTAAATAAGGTACATTATAGTAAACCCCTATGAACTTTTAGCATTTTACAGTAAATAGACTCTATGAACTTTTAAGATCCCCTAATAACTTTTGCGGAAAGCCCCCAATATCTTTTAGATAAATTACGCCAAACCCCCAATAACTCTCAAAATGCCTTTTTATGGCATTTTCTGGATGTAACTTATAGCGATTATATGCAAAATTTAGAAAATTATTGGGGGTTTTCTTTGAAACAAAAAAGTTATTAGGACTTTAGTATGATTTTGAAAGATCATAAGGGCAGAAAGTTCATAAGGGTTTAATGTAATTTACCATATTAAATAGTTATAATGAGAAGTAACTACCGCAATATGTTGTTGTTATTAAGTGTAACTCTCTAGGGAACATCAGGAAAAATCTAGCAAGATCTATACAACTTAGTTAATTTAAAGTTAAGTTAAACAACTTTCAAGTTAGAGGGGGGCATATTTAAGAGAAGTTATAGATTTGTTAGACTTATTTAAGAACAATTGTAGATTTGCCCAACTTATTTGAAAAAAAAAAAGGTTAGCATTGGACAATCATTATAGGAAAAACATTCAATTACAATAACTACACTATAATAATTAATCCATACATTTCTTTTTAAGCAATCTTATTATACAATTTTATTTATTAACACATACTTTTACTATTCAATAAATTTTTTTTTTTAAAACTTAAAACAGTTAAGTTCACGCGCAAAGCACGTGCATCATACTAGTGATATCATCTTTTTTTTTTAAAACTTAAAACAGTTAAGTTCACGCGCAAAGCACGTGCATCATACTAGTGATATCATCAGAAGCCTGTACTGTTATTAAAATTAAACAAGCAAGCTTTCACCACCGAGACAATTTAGACACACCAACAAAACTCTTACCTAAGCCAATAGTTATTTTCCCTAGAGGAACAAGCCCATCAACCACCACACAGAAGCGCGAAAACAAGAACTAAATTAATCTCACAAGTCAAGTCACCTTAGACATGTTCACCACAAACATTCCGAACAGCCTTATGGGACATTCTTACACAACATGCGAACAGAACATAAAATGTCCTCACTGTGATTGGCCTAATGATCCCTCAACCCCCCCCCGCGTCCTCTGCCCGCCCCGTGCCTCCTCCTCCCCCCTCCGTCAGTTGGGCCTCGGATCCTAATAGAACACTACCGGAGATGGGCTCCGCCCACGCCACTCCCGAAACGCCGAGAACCGCCCTCGTTGTATAATCCACCCCCACCCTCCTGCCGCTCGCGCCTCCCCTACATCTCCGCAGCTCA